CCCGGAGACGCAGGGCACATGCACTGGGTAAGGGAGCGGCCACCGTAAGCGCAGCTGGGGGTTGGCATGGCCCCTACCCTTCGGAAACTAACCTTAAGGGAAAGCTGATTCTCGGCTCCTCCTTGTTCAAGCAGCTCATCAGCATGGTAAATCACATAGGGGACCTTTGCTTACTCCTATAAATTGCCCCCCAGTTCTAAGTGTCAGTACCTTACAGCAAGGGCCAGCCTGCTGCTTGTTTTCCCACCAGTTCCTCCCCCCTCCCAAGGCCCATTTTTAATCTCTGATCTGCAAGCAAGAAGTGCAGGCAGGGAGAGCCAGCCCCTGATGGCTGCCGTGAGATGTAATCGCAGGCAGGAGTGGGGTTCAGCCCTGTGGGGCTCTGAAATTTGGTATCGGTGTCATGTCCTGCCCCGCTGATCCCCGCGGGGCTGCAGCTTGCAGAAGTGATCGGCCCCCCCGCTTGTAGCTTTTTTCCTGCTTGTTAATAGAGAGGATTTTTCACCTTCCCCCGCTATTGATTTTAAAGGACTCTTCCTCCCCTGCAAAGCATGTGTCTTGTTTAGAAGACCATTTAATTCACTCTTTAATCAAAGAGGGAAGACAGCAGAGTATTGGTGCCTGACATCTGTGGCTGTATAGGAAACCGAGCCACGCTCCGGGGATGTCTGCATCGATGTGGCTAATCCACCGCAATGCCGCTTGGTAAACCAGCTACCCTGGGGAAACGCTAGTCATGTTGCAGATGGGCTTAGAGGAGCATTACCCTGGTCATTGACCTGTTGGGTGGATCCCATCTCCTTCTTGTGCCTCAGTTTCCCTACTGACTTTTTTTTTTTTGGGCTATTTAAATAATAAGTGCTCACCCTGCCTGGCTATCTGGAGGTTTGTGTGTATACAGAGGAGGGGCCTCGGTCTTTGCAGGCCTTACTGGTGCTGTCCTAATAACGATAATGGGTGCACAGCGGTTAGAAACAGGAACAGGTTAAATTGGTAAAAAGCAGGCATATCTCAGGAGCTCATCCAGCAGTTGCAGTAGCAGCATCACCACACCTGACAGACGCCACTGTGCATCCACTGACGCTTGCGAGGAAGCTGGTTTCTAGAGAGTAACTGAGAACTTAAGGATAAAAAAAAATGTTCTAAAATCCTGGACTGTTATCCCCAAAGGTCCTCTTAAACAGGGAGAGTAGTGACAGGTTTCTTGACGGTCCTCCAGCTATAGTTCTGGCAAACCTTGCTTTTTGGTGGTCCGTGGTCCATCATGCAGTCAGTCTTCAGCGTAAACATCCTGCAGCTCTCACGGCCCCTGAAGGCCATGTCGCTATTGAAGGGGAGGAGAAGGAAGGAAAACTGCAGTTTTGCTAGTACTGCTTGTACAAAGGAAAGACTCCGGCTCCGGTGGGGTTTAAGGCACCGTGTGCTGTTATCTGGTCAGACAGAGAGAGGGGAGAAAAAAAAAAAGCAGGGAGTAACATGCCAACCAGAATATCCCATCTGAAACATCTGAAATTCTTACACCTGAACTTTCCAGCCTAAAAAACACTTGTGCAGAGCAAAATTTGTGTTGAGGATGGAGCAACTGTTCCAAGCACTGATTCCAAATAATTTCTGTGGTAAAAAAGCTTTAGTGAATGCCCCGTATAACACAGTTTTTCACCAAGAGTGACGTGCCAGTAGGGCCAGCACATAGCACGGACTGTTTGCTTTACTGTTCCCCAGTGTATCATTGTAGGCAAGTATGTAGAGGGTCCTTAATGACACCGCAGCACACTTCAGCATCTTGCTTTTGCAATGAATCTGTCGCCTGTGCTCTCCCGTGTGATGCAGCACTCCCGAGCGAGGCTTCTGTGCGCCAGCGGTCCCCGGGGAGCAGGCGCGGGTAGAGCCGATGTGCTCAGTTGGAGGGACGGATTCTTCCTTTGGACTGAGATCCCTGGCTCGTGTGGAAAGGCAAAAACATCGTGTGCTTTTAGATGACCTGGGTCAGGGAGGGAGGGATGCAACCTGATGGATGCAACCTGAAATTAGGTCCCCCCTTCCCCTGCTAGGCTGTGAAGTCTGGCAGGGAGCTGGCCCTTGCAATGGCCACAGCAGCACCAAAAAGCAGCTGGAGCTGAGCAGGGCACAGGTCGGCTCCTTCCCTGGGAGTGCGGGGGTTTGGCAGAGCTACCAAACCCAGTTTGAGCTAAAGGATCCCTCCCTCATCCGAAGCGGACCCCCTTAACCAAAGGGGAAACGTCAGAAAGGTGAATTAAAAGATACACCAGCCAAGAGACAAGACGCTGTTTCTGCGCATTCTGCCAAGTCTCTCGAAGACAAATTGTTCCTTGCAGCAAGGATGGAAAGAAGGTCATTTATAAAAGAGTAATTGATGTCTGGCCGGTGACAGCCCTCTGCAGGGCTGATGTGGCTGCCTCCTGCAACGGGAGCAGGCAGCAGCCCGCGCCTGGCTCTGAGGAGATCCAGGAGTCTGAGAGATGGTGAACCAGCCTTGACCCTTCCACATTTTGTATGCAAACTAAGCGTTGCCTTTTTCTTTTTTCCTCCAAATGTCTTCTAGTGTAATTAGAGAGTTGCTCTTCCAAAAGCCTTTTGGCTGGGAAGGGAAAAAGCAGCCTATAATTCATTTATAAGATGTTCTCAGAGCCATGTAATTGCTCCACATGAGCTGGATGGAGGGGGAGCTTCCCGAGGGGCCACGTCTTGGTATTCCCAGAGAAGCTAGACAGAAATAAGGGAGAGCCGATGCTGGAGGTGGGGGACTGAAATGTGGGGTGGAGCTGAGGAAGGGAAGACGAGAAGGAGGATTTTAATCTGCTGGAGTTTCTGGCCCCGGAGAAATGTCATAAGTGCTGGAGCTGGTGGGGGAAGGACAGGAGAGCATGGGGCGGGGGGCGGGGGAGAAATCTGGGTTGTGCCACTGGCATGCAGTAGTTCTCACTCTGCAGGTTCATGGTGGGTCCTCGCAATTAAACAGGAACAACGTGCAGAAGGGCTTTCACGTTGCTATCAGTGCTGGGTTTTTCATCTTCCATAATTTTCTCTTTTTTTCTTGTCTTTGAGCTTGATTTGGTGAAAACCTTGATTTTTTAATGCTGTTTGTTTGGGGGGGAAGTTGGAGGAGGTGCAAAATGCAGGGTCTGATCTTAGTGAGGAGCAACCTAAAATGCCCGTGTAACCTCAGCTCCTCTCCCCTCCAATTTTTGCTGTACCTGCAGGGGTTGAACCGCCCACCCCGGCTGGGTTTGGGCTTGGTCATGCCATGCTTTGGTCCATGGCGTCTCGCCCCGCGTGCTTTTCCCCATCTTTGGTACTTGAATCCTCCTTGTCATGTCAGCATTTGATCAGACTTTCCTCTCATCTCCTCTAGGGTCTTCTGTTATCCCACTTCAGCTCCTGGCAAGGAAGCAGGTGATCTCACCACCTATATGGCCAGGCAGCTGCCAAAAAAATAAAAGGAGAGATTGGACATACATAATTTAAGGTTTTTCGTAAGAGCCCTACAAGGGTTTTCCCCAGTGTCTGATGCAGAGCCTGAAACAAGGCAGCCCCGAAAATGTGGTGAGATGCCAAGGGCGGCCTTGGTCCTGGAGCAAAGCCCCCGGACAGGGCATCGTCTTGCCCCGAGCAGAGAAACACAGAAGGCAGCAGATGGACAAGAACCAGCAAAAGGCAATTTATTGGCATGTTCATGTTCATTTCCAGGATTTAAAGTAACACATTTTCCTTTCTTGCTGCACATGGAGGAGTTTGGGGCTTTCTTTTTTTTTTAAACCATACTTTTAAAGCAAACGTTTTTTGGTGAAGCAGAATTGGTAGCAGCAATGCTCTTCTTCCTTTTCTTAAGCTTGAATTTGGTAAACTTTCATGAAAGATTTAATCTTTTTTAAGTGATTTCAGCTCTATCATACTACAAAAACACTCATAGAAAAAAATTAGAAACCAAAATAAGCTGCAGTCAGTTGGGCAATTTTCCCCTGCTCCAAAACTTCATGTTGGAAGAGGGACAGTTTCACGGAAAAACTTGTAAGGGCAATAATTTGGACTGGTGCTTATTCATCATCTTTTGCCATTCCAAGACTAAGCTGTGGATTCATATTTGATGAGCCCATTTGGCCTTCAAATGCTTTACAGGCACTTTTTTTCTTCCTCTTTTAGATTTTTTTTTAAATGCGAACAAGATCCTTTGGTCCAGCTGTCACAACAGGCAAGCGCTGTTTACATCAGGGGTTTTTTTTGGATCAAATTTGTTCAAATAAAGAGACAACACATCTAACTTCCAGCTCTGCAAGCCTAGGGAAGAAGACAAAAGTGAAGCCACCTCCTGCGTTGTTGCCGTTACTGTTTAGGCACTTCAGGGTCAGTTGCTGGCCTTGATTGGATTTCTGTCATTCTTTTGTCTAACTAGGATGGTGCTGATTTAAGGAAGGCGGTTTGGCTGCACAGCTGCCACCTTGCTAACAGGGTAAAGTCCAGCTCCTTTTCCAGAGCAGGTTGCTCTCCATCCTGGTTACTTGCTTCTTTATGGACTACTCATGTGGGTTTTGCCCTCTTTGAAACTGATAGCTGAGTTTTAAACGTGGGGGATTGAATCTCCCGAGTAAGGAGATGCTACGCCGGGGCACGGTCCTGCTGCAGAAGAGGAGCATACTGTAAATATAATGTTTTTCTCTCCTTTTTTTTTTTTTTTTTCCCCGCAAGGGGAATTTGAGCAGAATAGGTTAACTGCTCCGCAGGAAGCTGGGTGCTTTTTTGGTCAACCCCTTCAAACGGCCACAGTGTAATTAGAGGGCTCCTGACAGAGAATCACATTATTATCCACCTAATTTCTTTTAAGTAACCAGCATTATGAGGGATATTAAAAGAAGGGGATGTTTAGCTCTAATTTTAACTCAACTTGCTCAAACGGGCATATTAAATGTGTCCCAATGGTGTTTTCAAATGGCTATTTTTCTCCCCATACTGTAACTGATGGTATTTTTGCTCTTTATCCTCAGGGGTTTTTCTGTTTTGCTCTGGCCTTCTGCGGATTGATCCCAGCTGCCTGCTGGAGATACACGCACAGCACGGAGGTAAGCCTCGGCTGCTAGGAAATACCACCAGCATCTCGTCAGATGGAGATTTTTTTGTGGCAATGATTTCTCCCATAAAAGGGACATCTGGCGGTAATTAAGCAGTCCATGCTGAGGTCTATCAGATGCATGCTCCGTTGCATCCGTCCTTTGCAAGAACGGGACTGCCTTCATCAGCTGCCTCTCCGATGTGGTCATCTGAAGGGAGGAGCCACAGAAACCCTCACACAGGGCAAATGCTTTGTCCTGAAGGCAAAGCAATGCAAGCCTCCTATTAAATAGCTTTGGGATTCTTTTTGCAGGGGATGGTTTGGTTTGGTTTCGTTTGGTTTCGTTTGGTTTCATTTGGTTTAAATGAGATGCTTGACTTTTGAAAAGTCATTTCCAGCCAACTCTAATTCCTGCTAACGTCAACTGGGAGCCTCTATTCAAAGGTGGTGGCAGGCTGCGACTGTTCAGGTTGTCTCTGGCAATGGCCAGGAGAAACACCCAGGAGATGTGTTATTAACCGGCAGCAGTAGTACAGTAAAAACGCTAGTGTGAAAAATGGTGTTTTGGGTCGCTGTCACGTTGGACAAGAAAGAGAAGATTGTATGTGGTCAAATTTGCCAGAAAGTTGGGGTTTGAATTGTTAGCCTAGAGCTTGCTGGTGCTGTGGTAGATGGATGGTGTTGGAGGTGCAAGGTGCTGGGGAAGTGGAGTCAAGGCATGCAGAGTTGCTAAGGGACAGCCCTGCGCATCGCAGTGGGTACCCTTACCCTGGGGCTGGGCTGCCCCTGGGGCCAGGGTAGCAGGCTGCTGGGGAAAGCAGAAATTTAACTTAATATTTAGTAGCCTGAAGAAGTTTAGACCTTTTTTTTTTAACACTTTCCTAATCTGATATCATTTGCTTTTTGTATATTTATTCCTCTAACCATTCAGAGGAATTTGTCGCTGCTTGGTCTTAATTGCCCTTCCTGCATCCCTCCACTCAAAAAAAAAAAGAAATTTAAGAGACTCAGAAGTGAAAAAAAATCATGCCGTCTTTTTTTTTGAAAGCGGAACACTGATATTTTAGGCAAGTATCCAAGTTATCTAACAGTAATTCAGGTAAGTGTTTGGGACCTTGATAGATGTTTCATGCAGCGGGTTGGCTCCCGTCTCCGTTTTGCTCCTCCTCAGCCCCAGGAACGTGCCACAACATGCAATGCTCTGGCCAACAATGAGGATATGGGTGACATGACACATCCCAATGGATTAGGGTCGTGTTGGTGCTGGCAGCTCATCTCTTTAGGGTTACAGACATTGTGGGGGATTGCAGAGCAGTGTGTCAGGAAAAGAGCAGCAGAAGGGATTTTGTTCTGCGCTGGAGGAGCACTCCATCCAAACCACAGGGACTCAACCCATGCTAGGAATGCGGCAATTGCACTTCTCAGGGACAAGAAGCCCTGTCCCATAATGGTTCGGTGTCCTGTGCAAAAATTAAAATCCAGTCCTTTTGGAAGCAGAAGTATAAAGGGCAAAGTCAAGGCCAAGGTGAGGGGTAAGGTCCTGCTTCTCTAGAAGGTTTGTCCAGAGCTAACCAGTGGCCACAGTAGTTGCAAATCCTTTGAAATATGCAGATGCCTACGCTGGATCAGACCAAAGGTGCCCACTCCCAGACAGGGACACCCACTGTTGGCCAAGGTAGGAGCATAAAAACCCAGTGAGCACAAAGCAATGCTTTTTCAGATGCCAACAGCTTGTGGCTCAGGTGCCTTTGCCTTTAATGCTCTCAGTGGATTTTTCCTTCGTGAATTTGTCCAGCTGCTTTGGAAATGTTGGGTGAGTGCTGATGGCACAGCAGCATCTTTTATCTCTACACTTACCTGGCTGAAGCAGATTCAAAAAAGAATCTTTCTACAGCCTCTGCATATATTTTCCCTGGTTTCAGGCAAAACTATCAAAATTTGTTATTTTCACACTAACAATTTAATATGGAAATAATTTCATTCTCATGACGAACACAGAAGGGAAGCCTTGAGCACAGTTTCCTCCTTCTTCTGCAGAAGTTTGTAATGAGAGATTGAAACAAAAAACTGTGTTAGTAAAGGAGAAACGGCACCAGAAAGTGTGTCTGATTGGTCTTGTGAAATTGCGTTATCCAACAGACGATTTAGTTATACTTTGTAATCCACAAACATGGAGTAGGATGTAAAAAGGCTGCAAGAAGAAGTTGTATATTGGGTTAATACAGGGATGTGTCATTCAGAAAAAGATTTTGCTGAAAATATTTAAAGGAGAATTACTTTCTCTGTATATCTCTTAATCACTACATCTGTTTTTACTTCAAATTCTTTTCCTGTTTTTTTGCTTTGAGTGCTCTGCCCATAAATGCATCCGTGTGTTATGGTTAGCTTTAGTAGTCGGTTGGGTTTCTTTAAGCAAAACAGTCTCCACTAGGCAAAATGAGGGTTTTTTGTAAAATGTTTACTTTCTGGGTAAAGAAAACCAGCAGTGTTTCTGACAACAGAAAAATAACAATGCCATTAGAGATCGTCCTGGGTTGCTCTGCTTTCTAAAATGCAAAGAGAAACAAACAGGGAATATCAATGAGGAAAGATTTAATTAGGAGTGTCACTTACAAAACATATGGAAATTCAGCTTCGCTTGAAAGGTAACCTGTCTCACCAGTGAGACAAATGCGGATGTGAAAGAGAAATGCAGATGTGAGTGCCCCTCCAGGACAGAAAGACAGGTAGTGCAGTGGCACAAGAAACCAAACGGAGCAGGGGGAAGACTCCTGAAGTCTCATTATAGAGCCATTTGTTTGTCTGACTTTCTCAAAGTAAAAAGCAAAATTAAAGCAGGTGTCCTCCCCCAGCCTACTGCGTGTCAGTACTGTCAGAAATAATTAATTGTGGTATTATGGGGGGAAAAAATCAAACTCAGCCAAACTGACCAGTGTCTTGTAAGCCTGATGGGATGTACACAGCTACCAAGAAATGAAGATAATTTGGGGATGGAAAACTGAATATGGATGAATATGCCCATTATACGTGCCTGAATCAGTGCCTCTGAGAGCACTGAGGGGCTACTGCCCCCACGTTCATGGCTAAACCAAAAACTTGCATTTTTCCCATGCAAAATACGTTGACTTCCCAGTGAAAAGCCAGACAGAAAATCATGTTCTATTTTGAAATGCCAGCTGGGAGCTTGCATCGGTAGATCCTGTCCTCTTCCTCTCCATGGGCAAGGTGCCGAATGCAGGCAGTGCTGAAAGCTGAGCCCTCCCCTTCCTCTGCAAGCCACGAGATGGGAGGTCCCTCCTGCACCAAACCACGGCAGATGCTCTCAGTGGTTTACTCCTCTTGATTAAAAAAAAAAAAAATTCTAAATTTCCTTCATAAAGTCGTCCCTTCTTACAGAAAAACATCTAAAATGGAAAAGCCCAAATTTCAGTTGAAAAATTGGTTTGATTGTTATTTTCAAGAGGCGGTAGATAGAAACGTCGTTTCAACATGATGAAAGCAAGGTGTGCTTCTTGCCTTTGTGACTCCTTTAGAGACCTGTTTACAGTACTTCTTACGGAGAAGCTATGCAGAACAGGAGAAAAAGAAGAGTTATTTGTAAATATTGGGTATTTGCAGGCATGGACACTGTAAACAAAATGTGAATCTTCTAATTTCACATTCTTTCCTGCTTTTGTGACCTTCTGTAGCTCCCGAATTAATTCTTTCAGACAGATGCCATGTTATTTTAATTTCAAGTTACCTGCATCCCAGATAGACTCTGTGTCACCTGTCTTTATTCTTAAAATAATTTATACCAGACATGGAAAAATCATGAATCTGAGGTTTATTGTGCTTTAGCCTAAACGGTTGATCCCTCTGTTCAGCACAGTCCTTCCTGTGGCCAACGAGTGGGTTTTCTGAGGTCCAGGCCTCCTCCGTACTGTCTTCTCAGGCTACTTTGCATCCATCTATCTGTGTCAAAGTACTTTTAATGAGGGACTAATAAACTACTCATTCCCAAAGCATATTTTATTGGTAGGTTCTGCAAAGAAAATGGTGAACAAAATGGGGGAGAACAAATAAGTCAGAGTAACATCCCAGATCCTCTCCCTGTCTTGCCAGCATGTATAATGCAGCCTTTCTGTTAGGGTCTACCTGCAGTTTACAAAGAAACACTTTGCCTCAGCCAACAGTGCCAACAGAAAAGCTGCTGCTGTCACTTGCAGAGGTGTGAAAACTTCTCTGGGCAGGTCAGCTGCTTGGAGGAAAATCGGAAATGAAAATATTTGTAATCTGGAGGTTGTTGAAGGACATTTTCTCCTGCTGGCTGGAGTGCTGAGCCCTTCATGTTTCAGTGTTTTCTAGCTTGGCTTGTTCCTGAGCCCCATCCTCACCTGCTCCACCCAACACTCCTCCTTCACCTCTGTCCCATCATGCTTTCAACCCCACAGCTCCAGAAACACCCCAGCCCAGCCTCCAAGCCCCTGTGAAACTCTAGTGTGCTTTTCTGCCTGGCCCAAATCACTTGGGAGAGTTGATCCCTTTCCATGTTCAGCCTAATGCAGACAAGGGTTTCCACAAGGGTGAGGAGCACATTTGGTTGCCCTCCCTATGCACCACCTGGCCAAAATGTGGTCTTGGTGGGAAATGTGGTCGTGGTAGGAAATGTGGTCTTGGTGGGAAAGTGTCACAAACCTGTCTGAGGATCGACACCGGTGTTGCGAAGCAAATGAGAGAATGACATACAAGAGAGCAGGGAGGATGACCTCTACACGAGCACCTTTGATGCATCAGCTGTAGTAACCATGGAAATGATGAGGTTGTCAGCTGGTTTTCAGCCATGTTAGGAAGTCCTGATTCCTGAAGTCAAAGAGCTGAGTCTTGTTTTCCAAAGTTATTTTTATGGCAGCTCCTTTGCCACAAACCACTGCCTATTTAGGTGAGGTCTTTTAGTCATTCCCAACACAGCCCAATGCAGCTGGGACCTGCGATGCGGAGAAGGACGTAGGAGAGACTTATGCCAAATCT